GGCAGCTTGGCCTTTTCGGATCCGGCGCGGCGTCTCGACCCGCCTTCCTGCTTCATGGTTCCGTCTTCAACGCACCGGTTGCGACCGTGACAGAGCAACAACCGCGGGGCACGACAGGAAACCAGGCGCAAGATCGATCAGCCAATCGCTGAGGGGAGGGTAGAGAAAAAAAGTGCGGTTGGATTTCTCTTCCCACCATCCTCAGGGAAGGAGACGGCTCCTTTTGCCGCTTCCGTTCTGCTTGCGAGGTGGGTGGGTGTCTTCTTTGAGTGGTTAAGGTGAAGTGAGGGAGAATAGCAGCACTACTACTTTAAATAAGTAGATTAACAGACTAACAGAGTTGGAAGGGACCTTGGAGGTCTTCTAGTCCAACCTCCTGCTCAAGCAGGGAGACCCTATACCATTTCAGACAAATGGTTGTCCAATCTGTTCTTAAAAACTTCCAGTGTTGGAGAATTCACAACTTCTGAAGGCAAGCCGTTCCACTGATTTAATTGTTCTGTCAGGAAATCTCTCCTTAGTTCTAGGTTGATTCTCTCCTTGATTAGTTTCTGTCCATTGCTTCTTGTCCTGCCCTCAGGTGCTTTTGAGAATAGCTTGACTCCCTCTTCTTGTCTGTTTGTATTCCTAGTCTGTCTTTTACAGTTCTGTTTTTTGTAGGTTGGGCTATTTTTTTCCTTTTGTGTGAAGACAGATGCAAAAATGAATTAAGCTTTCTCCCTGCTGCCCATCACTTCCTTGCCATCTTTCTCATGACCAGTCATTTCCTTGGCTTTTTTCTTATTTTTTACATGTTGAAAGAAACTTTTTTTATTATTATTGACATTGGTTGCAAGTCTTTGTTATTCTGAGCCTTTGCTTTCCTGACTTCATTTTTGCAGATTTGGCCTATATGTTGGTATTCTGCCTTAGTTACGTGTCCCTCTTTCCATTTTTTACACTTATCCTTTTTTTCTTTCAGTTTATCAGAGTTCTTTATGCAACAGTGCTGGTTTCTGCTTGCGTTTATTTTTATTTTTCAGTGGTATTGTGCTGCACTGGGCTTTTATAACTATATTTTTCAGAGTTTCCCAAGCTTCTTGTGTTGTTTTCCCCT